TATTTTTATCCCCACTTCATAGAGGAAGTCATTGAGAAAGGCAGTGGTGCTTGTCAAGGTCACATGGCAGAGCCAAGATTTGGACCTGGTCTGCTTGACTCACAGCCAGTTCTCTTTCCTCTTCACCTTCAATCGTCAGTGACAAGTTCCCTTCTAGCACAACATTCTCGGATTTTATGCCAAAAAATAGCCAATGAATGTCACATTCTGACAGTCCTCTCTCTTAGCAGGAAGGGAGTCCCTCTCTCTGCTCAGGAATGATGATTGCAGCTTGTCTAACCTGCCTCCTCTTCTAAGGAGATGGCAGGCACCATGTTTCTGTGGAAGGAGCCTCTTCCTTACAAAAGCTTTCTGATTTCACTGGGGTGTGTCAGTAGTGTGACGCGATCTGAGTGACTCCACTCTGCCTGGTTGTTTTAGCCCCAGCAGCACTTAATAGAGCCCAATGTTTCACAGTGGAAAATACAAAAATCCCAGGACCGTGTCATCCCTGAGTATTATGTTCACAGGATGAAAGGCCAGGAGAAGATACCTGAGCCAGTCCTGTGCCTGAAGCCCCCATGACAGCCCCATTATGGGTTTTTCTGGGCTCTGCTTGTACATCTCCAGGACTAAGAAGCTCATTCTTCCTTCCAGCTCTGGCTAGAAGAGACATCTAGAAAGGAGAGTTGAGCTCTACCTTGCTGCATTTTGCCAAGGAAGCTTTCAGGCCCAGGACAGTGAAGTGATTTGCCTGAGGTCACCTGGAACATCACTGGAAAAGCCTCGGTCAAAGGCCTGGCACTTGGAAATCTGCTTCTGCCCTTGGCCTCACAGTGGAGTGGAAATAATCCTGAAGAAGGATTCAGACTGAGTTCTCACCTCTTGGCCACTTAAATTAAATGACATTTAATTCAACTTCATAAATATTAGCCAAAGGCCTACCATGTGCCTTACATGCAGTGCGGTCACAGTCAAATAATTTATTTTCTATGAACCTCAGTGCCCTTATCTATTAAAAAAAGAAGAAAAGCCCCCCCGCCCCATGTGCTGCTTGTGGTATGGATTAAATGAGGAAAAAGGAAGCAAAAAGTGGTATGTACATTGAGAGGTTACTGCTAACGCTGGCTATCCCATCTTTGTGGTCCACTCCACCTGGAGCAGACTCCCACCATTTGGAATTTGTTTACCCACCACACTCTCCGAAGGAGAAATGTACAAGGTTCATCTGTGATTACCAAGAGCCCAGCCCTGGGGTTGGTATATGGCAGGTGCTAAACAGAGTATGTGAATAAACAGAACATGTGGTAAAATCTGATTCTGAGACCCATGGAGAGGACAACCTGATGGGCACTGGAAGACAGAGGAGGGGAGGTCTTAGTGAGAGGGTGCAGAGTGTGAGAAGGGTGTCCACTGTGGATGGACAAGGTTTGGGTCACTGGAAAGGAGAGGGTGGGACACTCCAAGCAGTGTGAGTGGCTTGGGAAAAAGGCCAGGAGCCCTGGCCAGTGTTTCTCAGTGGTTAGAGCATCGGCCCTCTAGAGGGTCAGAGGTTCGATTCCTGGTCAAGGGCACATACCTGGGTTGCAGGTTGCATGTGGGAGAACCAATCCATGTGTCTCTCTCACACTGATGTTTCTCTCCCTAGGATGAGGATTGAAAAAAAAAAAGAAAGAAGATCTATATGGATTATGTAGTAGACACTGTGGGAGTGGGCAAGTAAGAGCAATGAAAGATAACAGAAAATAATGTGTAACACTTACTACATTCCAGGCACTGTTCAAAAAACTTTAGATACATTACCTCATTAAACCCTTACAACAACCATACTAGGTGGGTACTAGTATTATCTCCACTTTCAAGATAAGGAAACAAAGAGGTTAAATGACTTTCCCAAGGTCACATAGCCATGAAGTGACCAGGCTGGGATTTGATTCCCCAGAATATGTGCTTTTAAAGTAGGCTGAAGCCTGTCTTTAAAGAGCTTGGAACTTTGGACTTTATCTTGTACTGCAGGAGAACTTTTAAGTAAAACTTTTGAGCAGGAAATAATTTGAGAAAGGAAGACATCATGGAGGGTAACAATGTCTTCACAGGTCCCTCAAACTTACTGAGCGACTTCTGTGTGGTAGGCACTGGCAATACAAAGAGCAAGACAGAGCCCTTGCCCTTGCAAGCATGCAGTTCAGTGGGAGGCGTGGAGGTGGCTGGGGCTGGTTCCCTCTGGCTCTCTGGAGCCCATTGTTTGCCTCTTCCCAGATGATCAGTGACATCACATTGATAACTTGGAATCGACCCTGGTGGGAGTATTTATACCATGGAAATTGGCCAATGCTGCAAATGAGGGCTTTCCCCCCAGAGGATCGGTTGTTAAATATTTACCAGCACCACACTGGTAATGAACAACTGCAGTATGATACATGACCTTCTCAGGTACAGGGCGGCACAAAGGGGGTTGGGGCTAACTCTGCTTGATGAGCTAGGGAGGCAAGGCTCATGCAGTGTTGAAAGATGAGTAGAGCCGAAACTGGTTTGGCTCAGTGGATAGAGCGTCGGCCTGTGGACTTGAAGGTCCCAGGTTCGATTCCGGTCAAGGGCATGTACCTGGGTTGTGGGCACATCCCCAGTGGGAGATGTGCAGGAGGCGGCTGATCGATGTTTCTCTCTCATCGATGTTTCTGACTCTCTATCTCTCTCCCTTCCTCTCTGTAAAAAATCAATAAAATATATTTTAAAAAAAAGAAAGAAAGAAAAAAAAAGAAAGAAAGATGAGTAGATACTTGCTATGAAGACAAAGTATTAAAGGGCAGCTCACCAGAGGTGTGGAATGGCCTGGCATATTCCATAGTTCCATGAAGGGACACTATGGATGTGAAGGAGCATGGCAACCTCTGAGGTGCCGAATAAAAGGGTGCTTATTTAGCAAATCCAATATTGGATTTATAAAGTGAACTAATTGGGGTTGAGGGGACGTACCCATGTCACAACACATTAACCTTTGTCTTTAGCTGGCAGGATCCTTTACCCAACATCTCAGTAAAAGGAAACCTAGGCTTTGAGGAGAGACCTGGCATAAAAATAGGTTAGAACACTCTAGGGCTCCCAGCTAACTGGGAAATGTTGACAAAGGCTTTGCCCTGTATTTTGGGGTAGGAGGGCCAGGGAAGTTGGCAGGAACTAGGACCAGGAGACAGGGCATTAAGGGTCAGGTGCACCTGGCTAGGCATAAACTTCCTGCCCAGAAGTTAAAGCCAGATAGCGCCTCAGAGCTTTTTTGTTATCCTTGTGTCTAGTGGGGTCCTGGGTGCTATGAGCTGCTCAGGGATCTTCTGGCTTCCACAGACCAACTTTCTCCTCAGGGCCTGCTTGGTTCTTATGTGCAGACTGGGGTGAGCATGTCACCCGCTTTGCTTGGTGTCACACAGTCCTCAAGGTTCTGAAGGAGACTGAGGTCACTGGGCCATCTGGGCAGATAGAGCTGCCAGAGCTAGGATACCACGGGGCCTGGAAACAAGCCTGGGCCCCTCCCTTGGGTGGGCCTGTTATCAAGGTTGTTTTGCTCTGCAGATGGTCACAGGGCCTCATTTCCAGGCCAGCTGCCCCCATCAGCCCTGAGCCCTTTGGGACACAGGCAGACACAGGAGGTCAGCATGAAGAGAACACAGGTTAGGAAAGGGATGGGCTGATTCTCTGGCCATGTGAGCCAAGAAATTGGTCTAAGGCAGACCTGGGCCAAGCCCACTCACAGTAGCCTGTTTTAGGAGTAGTTTGTAAAAGCTGAAAGTTTGGGGTGAACAAAGGGGCAGTTATACAAGTGCTATGTTTTAGGCCATGTGGCCATTTACAAATCAGAGTGACCACATCCTGGCCCTCAGGGCTGTGTTGGGCATTGATGTGTGGGCAAGGGTGGGACCACAGCCACCTTTGCATAGGGAGCTCTGACTCAACAGTAGAACAGAGGGTCCAAAGGCTTGCCCTTCATAAAAGGGCAAGGGCTTTAGATGATCCTGAAGGTGTGAGGTTACAGGGAGCAGTGCCTGAGATGGTGGCCAATGCTGATCTTTGGTGGCAGCCTTCACAAAGTGGTCACAGCAAGGTGCTTAGGGTTCCCTTGAGCACCCTTTCTGACTATCTTTGCATGCCTGGGACCACACCTAGGGCAGGAACAGAGAGCTGACAAACTCAAGTGTGCCCGGAATTGCCCTTCACTTGGGACAAAGCTCTTGGCTGTGCAAAAGGGTAAATAAACTGAGTCTGGTTGAGATCACTGATCACCATTGGGTCTCGCTCAGGGCCGTGAGGAGCTAACAAGCAGCAGCACATCCCTGCCTCCCAGTCTACACTCACTCTGCCTCACCAGTCCCGAGATGGTGCTGCCTGCACAGCTGTGTTCTTTCTCTCAGTTTTGCTAAGCAGATGGCTGCACTCACCTAAGTGAGGTGCGTGCATAGTGCCTGTGCTGTAGCTCTGCATAAAGGCTCAGCCTTCCTCTGTCATCTGCCCTGCCAGCTCCTGGGCCTCTGCCCCTGCTATTTCCAGTGCCCACTTGCCCTCTTTAGCTTATTCTGTCATAATCCAACCCACCCTCAAAGGCCCAGCTGCGCACTCCATTAAACCTTCTGAAAATTAAACTCTTTCCCCAAGTTCCTGTAGTACATTGTGGGGAACTTCTAGGCTTTTTATTGGTCATTTCCATCCTCAGGGCTCATATACCAAATACTCTGGAAGAGTTTATTAAAGTGGTGTCTCCTGTACAACAGCCCTTCATTATTACCTCCTAAAAGAGCAAATATAGATTGAGTTCCTGTGCCTGGCGTAGTTAGGAATTTTCACATGCACCTCATTTAAGTTGTGTAACCCCGGGAGGTGGGTTTGTTATCTGATGAGGGACAAATAAGAGAGGCCCAGTGACTTGTCCCAGGTTATACAGCTAGTAAAGAAGTCAGAATTCAAACTCAGGTTAGTCTGACTCTAAGGCCAGGGTTTTTTCCCCTTATAAACAGATACAAAATAACAACCACTTGTCATTTATATGGTATTCATACATAATTTCATTGATCCTCACAACAGCCCTGTGAGGTAGGTAGGGTTATGTGTTACTGTTATGTGCATTTCACAGATGAAGAAACAGGTGTCTTAGTGAGGTGAGTGACCTGCATAAAGTCACACAGCACATGAGTGGCTTCATAGGTCCTGTACTTTCTCTAAAGTCAAGCTGCTTGAATGAAGAAGCACCGAAAAGATGGAGAGAAAAAATTTTTATGGAGAGGAAAAAAGGTAGTGGTCATTTATGAGATTTCTTCCTTAAACTGTTTTGTTGTGGCCATCGCTTCCATTCGAGTACCATTGGCCTGGGGGCCTGGAGCAGCTGTCAGAGATTCTTGGGTCTCACGGTAGAGGGAAAGAGACCGTATTACCTAAGGGATGTGGCCTTGCCCACGGCCCTGTGTACAAGCTCCCTACGTAGAGAACATATTATGGGAAGACCTTTCCTTGACCCATCTCTCGTGGGCGCCTGTGCCACCAGGCTTTCCTGGCTTTAACTGGGGACCCTTACCCAGTAGGGAAGATTCTGAGACCCCCAAGGCCGTACTCACTCTAGAGATGAATCATAATGTGCAGTTTTGAAGCCTGCACTGCTCATCACCCCTTGGGAAGTAGTGGCTTGAGGTGTTTTGCCCTGGATCTCACCCCAAGGAGGTCCATGGTCTGGCTCTAACCAGACACAGTACTACAGGGGAAGGCCACCTCCTTCAGAGCAGTGTCTCAGGGATGGACACTTAGTCCAAGGGCAGTGTTATGGTTCAGACCACTCTAGGGCTCCTCGCTGCACACTGCTTTCCAAAACCCTGGTCTGCTTCCTCTGGCAGCACTTCCTCAGGGCCGGCAAATCTTCATCCTCCAATAGAAGATGGTCAGAGGGTATCTGGAGTTGTGGCTAGTCAGGAAGGTGGGTGAAATGGGGGTCACAAAGGAGGCAAAGCCAGAACAAAATGTGGTAGATTTACAGAGGATGGAAGAGGGCTAACCTTGGTTCTGAAGACAGATCCCAAAGGGGAATCCTAATAATTTCATGAGTGTCTGGTCTCTCAAGGTGACTATTTTGAAAGAGAAAATACATATTTGGGTGAGAAGAACCAGAAAATAGAACCAATACCAGAAAATGGGAGTGGAAGGGCAGATTTTGGCTCAATATAAGAACATTCTAATAGCCAGCACTAGCCAACCACAGCAGGGCCTGCCTTAGGGATGATGAGCTTCCTGTCACTGGAGGTATGTAAGCAGGGATAGGTGATTGCTTGGAGGTACTGGGGAAAGGAACTGGTCCCCAAATGTCCTGGGGTATGCTTGGGTGAGGGAGGACTAAGCGACTGTTGAATTATTTTCCAACCCTGAGAGTCCATAATATATTTGTTTAAAATAACTTGTCCCAGTGATACCTTAAATTCTTGGGGAAAGGATTACAAAAATCAGGTAACAGGCCATAGTATGAGGTGCCTTTCATTGCACTGGCTCCAGATTTTCAAGCCTTCACAGGGACAGAAGCCCATTTCTGAAGCCAAAAATCTCCCAATGCTTAGAGTTGATCCAGTCAAAAGGGTTATTCCCCATCTTCTGACGCTGCGTGGATGCTCACTCCTCTAGGCCAGCGGTCACCAACCTTTCGGACCTCACGGACCACCGGTTGGCGATCGCTGCTCTAGGCCATGCCACAGCTCAAATCTCTCCCCCAGTGGGGCTAATACAGCTTTGAGAACATACTACTTTCCTAAGCCAGTTAACATGGTCGCCCTTGGGCAAACAAATCCAAGTCCTGGCTGCATCCTCGGATGGAGGAGCAGGAGTGATAGGGGTCTCTGGGTAGTTTATCCTGGGAAACTGAAGGGAGCATCTTGTTCTCACCTCATTCCCTTATTCAGATGGGTAAGTGAGGCACTGCTTAGTCGTATATAGAGAGGTGGAGTCCATGTTAGAAGTGCTGCTCCTCTGTCTAGCCAGAAAGTCCTCCTGTGCCCTCCTTTAGGACACATCAGCAGACTCTTCACTTGTCATAACAGACTGCCCATCTCCAGCTCAAAATGGCAAGAAAACAGGTGGTTCTGTTGAGAGGACACATGGATTCCTACAACTAGACTGCATCATCGGGGGAATCAAGTCCTGCTACGTGATTAATACAGATTAGTAGAGTGCCCTGGCTCACACCATTGGTGAGACGCTCTGACATGGACCTTCTTGGCAACCCCCCTCCAATGTGGCTGGGGTCCTTTTACCTGTACCGTATTAATCGAATAATCTTATTGCTCATAAAATCTAGAGCGTGCGGGTGAGAGGAATCGATGCAGAAGCCGTCACTTAGAGCGATTTTCAGCACTTCCTCCACGAAGACCTGGAAACTATTGATCTGCTTGTTGGCTGGCACCACCCAGAGCCTCTTGAGGTTCTGCTTGGTGTACTCCTCCTCTGGCAGGCCCTCCACGTTGGCCACCCAGTCCAGAGTCAGGTGGTTGGGATCCTGCAAGTGACTGGTGATGGAGGAGAGATTGCCATTAGAGCAGTAAAAGAGCTTGGAGCCGAGGAGCTTGAGGAAGAGGCAGGAGGTGCTGAAGATGTTGGCATTGAAGACCTCCATGCTGGAGGAGGAGAGGCTGTAGATCTGCGGTGCCTCGCGCACAGTGAAATGGACCGTCTGCACTCGCTGGTTCAGGGTGATGTTGAGCATGGCATTCTTCTCCGCCTTGGAGAGCTCCACCTCCTTCTCCTGCAGCGCCTCAATCAGGGGCTGCACCTGGTAGAAGTCAGCCTCCCTGCGGAGCAGGCCCATCTCCTGGAAGTCCTCGGGCAGGTCCAGGTGGGAGGTCCGCAGGAAGTTGAGGATGTAGCGGAACACTTTGCCATCACGGTCAATGAAGCAGTTGCCCTGGCTGTCCCTCTTGGTGGGCATCTTCCCGCTGAACATGGCACCTAGCATGGAGTCGGGGAAGCTGGTCAAGGTTGCCAGTGAGGTTGTGTAGAGCTTTCCGCCGACATTCAGTGTGATGGGGTCGGACATGGCAGAAGACCCGGGTGATGGGAAGAAGTCCTAGAGAGGGAGAAAAGTGAGAAACGACCGTCACCCAACCATAGCTCTGAGACGTATACTCCTAGTACTCCTTCTGCTGTACCAATGTTGCCTTCTTGTTTAATTTTTTATTTCTATCTCAAAAAATTTACAACAAATGGCTGTGATCAGTGCCATTTCCATCTGTCTACCAGGCCCAAATGGTTCACTCGGCCCTTTGGACTCTAAATGACACCCTTTTCTGGACTCTCATCCTCCTGTAACAAACTGCCTTGCCATGAAGATGCGCTTGGCTCCTGGTGCCTGCCCTTTCCTGTCATGACGGCACCCCAGCCTCCTTTGAAACTTTCTTGGAGGTCAGTGCAGATGTGGAGTCTGCCACCGAGCACCCTTCCCAAAGGCTCTTGACCTACTTTTTAACAGAGCCTCCCCACCCGACTGATCTCATGGCCTCCAGCATCTCCTTCAACCTGAAGTCTTACATTCTAAACCTTCTTAAGGTTTTAGAAAGCGGGGGGGTGTCTCTGCTTCCAACATGATACTTTGCCAAGAGCCAGTCTATGGGACAGATTCAGCAGTCTTTCCCTGATGTGAGCGGCATAGAGAGGAATTGACTCCAGTACTGACCTTGAGAAGAGCCCAGGCTGGTGGGGGAGACTGAGACAAGAGGCAGTGTGGGTGCAGTGCCAGGGGAGATGTACCAGGCACTATGGGAGTAGGTTGTGAATGAGTCCTTGGCCCACTTGCTATCCAGATGGGAAAACAGCAGTCTGAGGAGGGACTTCTCCAACATCACTCAGCAGGGTGGTGGGTAGGCCAGAGTACTTCTCATCACATGTCTGCCTTCTGAGGAGGCTGCGCCGAGACCCCCTTATTCTAGGGGATAGAGCCCACCACTCTGAGGATGGACAAGATGCTTGGCTGCCCTACCCTATTGTCTTGGGGGGGGGGTGGCCCTCGTGATTGCATCCCTGTCTAGTGGGGCACTCTGATACAGCAAAAAGGCATTAACCATCTGGAGCAGTGGTTCTCAACCTTCCTAATGCCGCGACCCTTTAATACAGTTTCTCATGTTGTAGTGACCCCCAACCATAAAATTATTTTCGTTGCTACTTCATAACTGTTATTTTGCTACTGTTATGAATCATATTGTAAATATCTGATATGCAGGATGTATTTTCATTGTTACAAATTGAACATAATTAAAGCATAGTGATTAATCACAAAACAATATGTAATTATATGTAATTATATATGTGTTTTCCGATGGTCTTAGGTGACCCCTGTGAAAAGGCCATTTGACCCCCAAAGGGGTCGTGACCCACAGGTTGAGAACCGCTGATCTGGAGTGTTGGAGGAGGAACAAGCTGATGATGAAGTTATAAAATCGTCAGCAGCAGCCTGAAGTAGATGGGCTGTGAGACAGTGGGGAGTTCCAACAGAGATGGGTGGGGTGAGGAAGGGACAGCTGCTGTGTGGAGACCTGCAGCTGGGGAAGGTGCTTGGTCTTGGGGCTGAGTCTGGCTAATTCTCTCCAGAGGGCTCAGGCAGGAGCCCTGGAATAGGCTACTCCCTTTCTCATTGCCTTTTCTTTCTAGGTAGTAATTTGCATATTATAGTTTTCAGTCTCTCTCTGGCTCAGCTGAGAGGCTAGGCTGTCTTTCCTGACAGTTCTGTGGGCCACAGACCACATACCTCTGTGCATTAGTGCTGAAGACCTCAGCACTGGGGGTGGAAGAGACAGGTAACAGCCACAGACATACCTGGGGACCTTTGGGTGGGCACCCAAACTACTATTTTTCTTGCAAAAGCAACAGCACTTGTCTTCCTGTCACCTGCCCTCCCCGCGCCTCCCCAGCTGTGTGGCTCCCAGGGATGTGTCTAGCTGCACAGTCAGTAGGTGCAGGGGCGGGTTGGAAGGCAGGTCTCCTAGGGTGCTCTTTGTGGTATTCTCTCCATGCCCATGAGTCACAGAACCCAACCCTTCAAGCGCCATGGTGTCCACCATCATAAAAGCTCAGGCCCCACTGTGAAAGGCACAGTGACACAAGGGGCAGGAACTGGCACCTCTGGGGGGTGAGGAGCTTCATGAGTGTGGCAGAGCGTTTGTGGTCACATGGGGATGAGCTAATGTCACTGAGCCACATCCCAGTGTTTACCCAGCTGCCTCCTGGACATCTCCACTTGAATATACCACAGGCACCAGAAGCCTAACAGAATTCCTCTTTCCCCAGATCTGCTGTGAACTTTCTCGGCTACCCAGCTGTCTGACCCTGGGAGGCAGTCCTGACTTCTCATCCCTAAAGTTTTCCTGACTATCTCCTTGAACCCATCCCTTTAGCTACTTCTAGAGCTCAGGCCTTATCCCCTCTCCCCGTACATCCTCACTTGGCTCTTTCTGCCCACCTTCCATTTTAGTCTGCAGATTGATCTTCCTGAAACACTGCTGCCAGCCCAAATGACTTTGCTTTTTCACTCTCACCTCTAACCCTGTCCCTCCCCCTACTCTATGCGCTGTCACGCTAGGCACCACAGCACACACCTCAGACTGTCACCTGCCTTGCTTTTGCTCTCCTTACACCCCTCTTCTCCACTTTCTCTGTTGTCCACCTTTAAGGCCCTGCCTATAAGTCACTGCCTCTCTGTAAGGCTGTCCCCAAATCTCCAGCAGGTTAATAGCTCTTTCCTTGAGGCTTCAAGTTTCCTTGAACAGCCCTCTCAGCAATGTCCACCATTCCATCATGTTATGCTCTGCTTTGTACATGGCCCTCCTTCCTGGCTTTTTCAAGATGCAGATCACTGGACATCCATATATGAAAAAAGGACCTTAACCCATACTTGCACCATACACAAACAACTCAAAATGGATAAGGAACCTAGGTGTAAAATCATCTTAAAACTATGAAACTCATAGGAGAAAATCTTTGTGATCTTTGGGTTAGGCAAAGATTTCTTAAATAGGACCCAAAGGTACAAACCATAAAAAAACTGGCAAGTTGGACTTTATCCAAATGAAAACCTCTTCAAAAGACACTGTTAAGAAAGTGAAAATAAGACAAAGACTGGGAAAAAATACTTGCAAAATACTTCTCTGATAAAGGATTGTTAACCAGAATATAAAAAGAACTCTCAAAACTCAATAAGAAGAAAACAGACAACCCAATTTAAAAAATGGGTAAAAAAAAGCTGAACAAACACTTCAAAAAAGAAGGTACACAGATGATAAATACATGAAAAGATGCTAACTTCATTGGTCATTAGGGACATGAAGAGTAAAACCACAATTAGATACTACTACATAACCATTAAAATGGCTCAAGTAAAGAATCTGACAATGCCTAATGCTGATGAGTGCACAGAGCAACAGAAGCCCTAAGACATTACTGGTGAGAATGCAAAATGGCACAACTGCTGTGGGAAATAGTTTGGCATAGAGCTCTCATAATCCCACTCCTAGTTATTTATCCCAAAGAAATGAAAACATAGGTCCATGTAAAAACCTGTATATGAATGATTAAAGCAATTTTATTCATATTTGCTCAACCTGGGAACAACTAAGATGTAAATGGATAAACAAATTGTGAGACATCCATACAATAGAATATGACTCAGCAATACAAAGGAACTAGCTACAACACCTACCACAACATAGAAAAATCTCAAAAGCATTATGCCAAGCGAAAAAAGCCAGCCGCAAAAGGTTACACGGTGTGTGATTCTATTTATATAATATCCTGGGAAAGGCAACACTATAGAGACAGAAGTCAGATGAGTGATTTCTAGGGGCTGGGTTGGGGAGAAGAGTTGGCTATGTAAAGGCAGTTACCAAGTTCAAGCAAAGGAGATGGGATTCACATCCAAAGCTCTGTCTCCCCAAAAGTAAGCTTAGTCATTGCTTATGTACACCATTTGGTTAATTATATGTTGATTTCTTCTTTGCAGTTAGCTAAACTTATCCTGTTGGGTTAGGGTCAAGCTCCTCTAGTTGCAACAACTGCATCTGCAAACTACTGTGATACATTTTGACATTGAACAAGAATAGCATTTAGTAAGAACTGCCCCGACCTTCATACCCTTGTCCTATCTGACAAGCATGAGGGAATATTTCGGAGCGATGGAAATAGTCTATTGTCTTGATATGTGGCCAAATGATTTTATAAAGATTTTAAAGACTCATATAACTGTATAACTAAAAAGGGTAAATTTACCAAATATAAATGATGCCTTAATAAACTTGAAAAAAATCAAGATTGTGATTGTGTCATGAAATCCATACAGTGGATTATGACCATTATATATGTATATTGCGAAACTTTTGTTTTAGTTGTGTGTGTGTGAACTGGATTGTGACATAAAGTACATCTGCATACTTGGGGTTGTGATAAAGATTGTTTTTGAAAACCACTGTCTAGTTCAGCGGTCGCCAACCTGTGGTCTGTGGACCACTGGTGGTCGGTGAGGTCCGAAAGGTTGGCGACCGCTGGTCTAGTTTGTGATCTCCTTGAGAGCAATGCCACGTCTTATATTCCCTGCCTAGCACACAGTAGGTGCTGTGTAGCATTATGGTGGGGAGGAGGATGCAGCAGGGAGGTCCTGAGAGGGGAGAAATGAAAATATACTGAGGGTTTTACTACATCCAAGGCCTTTACACTTATCTGCCCTTTTAAATACATTTTTATTGATTTCAGAGCGGGAGAGGGAGATAGAAACATCAATGAGAATCATTGATCAGCTGCCTCCTGCACGCCCCTTACTGGGGATCGAGCCCGCAACCTGGGCATGTGCATGACCTCCTGGATCATATGTTGACGCTCAACCACTGAGCCACACCGGCCAGGCGTATAAGCCCTTTTAATTCTTACAGCAGTCATACAATGTAAGCATCATTCTCCTTGTTGGCAGATAGGAAATTGAGACTCCGAAAGACTGGTGACTTGCTCAGGAACACAATTCTCTTCCCCCTGTAAAGGCCACTAAGAGTGGTAATAGCGACAAGAGGCTATCATAGCTTTAACCAGTTT